ATTTGAGGGATTGGGGTGAAAGAAATCGAGTTACATAGTGATACTTTACGATATACTGTATTGACAATATCGCAATATTTTAGCGCTAGTTGGCTGTACCTGCACCAAAACACCATTATTGTTCCTTCATAGCTTGTTCTCAATCTTTTCACATTGGGAGCCAATTTGTTTTCAGCACTTTTATTTCCATGACTGATCAAAACTCGTTCTCATGGCTTTCTGATCCCTCTGCAACAGACATATGGTGCGCAATAAAATCACAGTATCGAATCGCAATACGTATAGAATCATGAGACTCGCAATGCATATATCTTATCGTGAGGTTCCTGGCAATTCCCAGCCCAAGTTCATTTGCCACAACAAATCTCTTCGCTAGCAAACGCGATGTCTTCTCCAAAACGGCAATGTGTCTCCAGCAATGTTTACTTTTTTGACGTTCTATGGCATCTCCACTTTCCAAGCATATATGACCACATGTAATATTTTGGTAAGTGATGCAAATAGTGAACTATGTAGGGCCAGGATGTAAAATATATGTAGCTGCAGCAATTTCTCTTATCTGATATGGTAAGTAATGGGGCTTAATGTATAGCTCCCTAAGAGTTTGACGAACGGGTCCGTGCACGCGATTCCAGATATCTTTACCTCTGAATAAACTGCCTTTATTATACCATATCCACCCTGTCCAAAGTCTCTACTTGGTCTCAGTTCTCCAGTAAACTTGTGATTATCAACACTAACCTCATCGTTGTGGCGGCGGACAGCTAGCCTGTATCCCTCATCCAGTTGAGTGGCAATGTCTTTTTTCGTTCGTACCAATTTTTGGAAAATCCTCGGGTGTAGGACTTTCCGCCTTTAGTAGAAACCTGTTGAATTATTAAATTTGGTCTGGGAGGTCCTAATTGTTTCGTTGCCAATTTATCTTCATTTGTTCGCCGACAAAAAGGAACTTCTTTCAAAGACACAATCGAGTTGTTACGTTCATGGTTACGTTACGTATGACGAAAGCGCGTAAGTGCAAGCCCTCAGACACCCATAGAGATTGTATTGAAAGCTCTGAAATTTGAAAAAAATAGATTTTACATGGGAGTCTATGACAGACTTCTGGGCGATTTTCAACCTGACTGAAATCGCCCCAAAAGGGGGGGGGGTGGCCATTTGAAGCAATTGGACATTTAGTGGCAGTGTGGCACTGTGGCAGATCAGACGTCTAGATTACAACACTGATAACTACTGTTGCCGTGATATAATTGATTAGAAAAAAAATCCCTTCCTTTTCCCGTTTGGCAGTGCGTCGCCCATATCGCCCTATTGAACAGGCCGCCCCTGCACACCTTTATTTGGGGAGTTTCTCCCATTCTTCTCTGCAGATCCTCTCAAGCTCTGTCAGGTTGGATGGGGAGCGTCGCTGCACAGATATTTTCAGGTCTCTCCAGAGATGTTAGATCGGGTTCAAGTCCGGGCTCTGGCTGGGCCACACAAGGACATTCAGAGACTTGTCCCGAAGCTACTTCTGCGTTGTCTTGGCTGTGTGCTTAGGTTCGTTGTCCTGTTGGAAGGTGAACCGTCGCCCCAGTCTCTCTGTACTTTGCTCCATTCATCTTTCCCTCGATCCTGACTAGTCTCCCAGTCCCTGCCGCTGAAAAACATCCCCACAGCATGATGCTGCCACCAACATGCTTCACCGTAGGGATGGTGCCAGGTTTCCTCCAGACGTGACGCTTGGCATTCAGGCCAAAGAGTTCAATCTTGGTTTCATCAGACCAGAGAATCTTGTTTCTCATGGTCTGAGAGTTTTTAGGTGCCTTTTGCCAAACTCTAAGCAGGCTGTCATGTGCCTTTTACTGAGGAGTGGCTTCCGTCTGGCCATTCTACCATAAAGGCCTGATTGGTGGAGTGCTGCAGAGATGGTTGTCCTTCTGGAATCTTTTCCCATCTCCACAGAGGCACTCTGGAGCTCTGTCAGAATGACCATTGGGTTCTTGGTCACCTCCCTGACCAAGGCCCTTTTCCCCCGATTGCTCAGTTTGGCCGGGCGTCCAGCTCTAGGAAGAGTCTTGGTGGTTCCAAACTTCTTCCATTTAAGAATGATGGAAGCCACTGTGTTCTTGGGGACCTTCAATGCTGCAGAATTTTTTTGGGACCCTTCCCCATTTTTTTGGTACCCTTTTTGGTACCCTTCCCCATATTTTTACCACGGGAAAAGGAAGGGATTTTTTTTCTAATCAATTATATCATGGCAACAGTAGTTCAGTGTTCACGTCTGATCTGCCAGCCACTAAATGTCCAATCAGGCTAAAGTCGTGCTTCAAATGTCCCCGCCCGTTTTGGGGCGATTTCAGTCAGGTTGAAAATCGCCCAGAAGTCTCTCATAGCCTCTAATGTAAAATATTTTTTTTTCAAATTTCTGAGCTTTCAATACATTCTCTATGGGTGTCTGAGGGCTTGCACTTACGCGCTTTCGTCATACGTAACGTAACGTAACCATGAACGGCAGACAGCAACGCTTGGACAGCGACTGGTGTAACCGACATGCACCATCTTTCAGAAAATATTAAGAAAAATGAGCTGTCAAAGACCCACATTGATAGCTGTTTGAGATTGTCTGCTTTGGTGAGAGTGAATATTGCCACTCAACTGGATGAGGGATACAGGCTAGCTGTCCGCCGCCACAACGATGAGGTTAGCAACAGCAGAGTCGTGAACACTGTCTACGAGAATCGAGACGACCTCATAGAATGTTTTGAAGCCATCCGGACGGGTTCATTGGGTTCATTTGACCAGCCCACCGTACCAGAAGCTACAGAATAAGGACATCGATGCTGTCTTTATCAAACGTGCCCTCGACAGCTTCGCAAGCAGTGTGCAGGCCATAAGGTAAGATAAAGATTAAACAATATCATTCGATCTTTCTCAAAGCAGAGCTTTATTTGAAAATGTATGCATGAAAGGAGACTGCATTTGTGTTTGAAATTACATTATTGTCATTATATATGGCCAGTGGTGTAATCTATCTTATTTTATATACTATGTGTACTGTACAGTGGTGCTCATAAGTGTATGAACACATTCTAAAGCTGACTAAAAAGAGGAATAAAAAAATAAAAAAATCATCTTTTGGAAATTGATCTTAATGACTTAATTAAAAAAGTTGGAAAATCCAACCTTTAAGGACACCAATTTTCTTTTCTTTTTTATTCCTCTTTTTAGTCAACTTTAGCATGGGATCATAAGCTTATGAGCACCACTGTATACTGTGCTGAACATCCAGGCTATGTGAGACACAAAGGCTAACTTAAACACTAAAGACTTTATGCATCCCTGCCCATTTTAAGTGGAACTGAAGTATTTGTACTATACATGGATACATTGCATATACCTGTGCATCACATAGACAACAATACTGTACAAAGCCAACAAACACATTGGTCTGTTTGCCTTCAGGGACTCCTCTCAACAGCAGCTGCAAGAAGCAACAGGAGCCAAAAGACCCAGAACAGCTTTGAGAGAAGAGGAGAAGCAGAGGCTGTCTGAAGAGGTCTGCAACACCATCCTGGATCACACCAAAGAAAGGTTCTCTTTCTCTGGCCACCTTGTGAGTGCTACCTTACTGCAAGCAGACATGTTTGAAAGGTACTGCCATTCAAAAAAATTAAAAATCTGTTCATGTTCATTTTTACAAATCTATACAATTGGCCAGAATATGGTTGTTCATATTTACAAATCTATACAATTGGCCAGAATATGGTTGTTCATTTTTACAAAGCCATACATATTGTTTATGCAGTGTTGAGGAATGTGAAAGAACACCCTTGATTATTTTTACTGTGATAACTTATTTTGCTTTTGTAAGCCAACACTTTTGAGATCAGTCAATAAATGCTTCTGGTATTGACTTATATGCTGCCCCTGTCTTCATGTTGTTGCTGGACATCTTTTTAAAAATGTGTGTAGGTCACCTAAATCATCAGAAAAATTGCCCCTCCTGAGAATTTTTTCAGGAGCCGCCACTGCTCCTGACCTTATTTAGGCTTGCCATAAAAAAGGTGTTGAATACTGATTGATGCAAGACATTTCAGCTTTAAATGTTTAATTAATTTGTCAAAATTTGAAAAACATAATTCCACTTTGACATTATGGGGTATTGTGCATAGGCCAGTGACAAAAAAAAATCTCAATTTAATCCATTTTAAATTCAGGCTGTAACACAACAAAATGTGGAAAAAGTCAAGGGGTGTGAATACTTTCTGAAGGCACTGTATTTACATGGTTTTCGGCATGTGATAGAAATATCAACCTCAGTACAAGCGGTCAAAAAAGTTTGGTAAACAATACCTTCCTGGGGATATTTTGCCTCAAATTTTGAGCGGCTGAAGGACAAACCGCACAGACAACCGGTAAAGTTCAAAAGTAATTTTATTAAACATTCTGGCTTGTAAGGAACATTTACACGATTTTGCAGTCATTAGTTTCAATTAATTGTGCATTACAGCTTGATTAATCAGACAAACTTGGACTGTTACTCAGCTAGCTATGTCTCAAACGCTCCTACCAAGGATCCTACCTCTGGCTTGTGGCTAGCTACGTATCGCTCTTGCTAATCTAGTTTTTGATGTTTTACAATAAAGGCACTTGAGCGGTGTTGGTAAAAAAAAACAATGAGCATCGTTCATCTTGTCAGTCAATCAAACAATGTTTTAATGATAACATTCGAGCTGTCATTATCTCTCTTTACAGTTGTCTCTACTTCCTCTACCCACAATGCCAAGTGACAAGTGTTGAGACAGAGGACCATGTTATTCAAACCACTCTAACCAAAGATGGTGTTTTTAATCGCTCTTTTTAAAAATGGACACTGAAATCCTCCAGTGTTTATTTTTCGAATGCTAGTAAATGCGATGATATTGATCATTTTGTGATCAATATATCATTTTATATACAAGGAAAGCACTCTCTTATTGCCAGACAGTGAGTGACACAGTATTTTCTCATTAACCTCAATGGAAGCTCCAGTCACACCAACTCCTCTACCCTCCAACTCCACCCTGCCTACACCTTTCCCTCTGCACCGGGCAGTGGCCCCAGCAGTCCGGCTTGGATTCACCGTCCTCTACACTGCTCTCTACGGAAGTCTCTTCTTGGTCGTCTACGTTCGTCTCTGGCTCCTCCTGCTCTGCCGACACAAGCGCTGGAGCTACCAGAGCGTGTTTCTGTTCCTCTGTCTTCACTGTTCTCCTTCTACTTCCATAACGGCCTGGAAGCCAATCACCTGGCCACAGTGTTTTACTGGCTCCTCTACTGCTTCTCTGTCTGTCTGCAGTTCTTCACCCCTCAGTCTCATCAACCTCTACTTCACTCAGGTAAGACACATTTTATATCTTAGATCACATGACATACTTGCAGGACAAGTTTTTCTGAGTTATGATTTGTTATGAAAGCATTAGTCTGACGCTCGTGACAGATTGTTAAATCGAGTAGCTGGCCAGCCGCATGCAAGATTTGGGTTCGAAGTTCAGAGACTATGAAAGTATTTGTTAAAGTATGTGTTTACTTTGTCTATTGGCTGGTTTCTATTCTCCTTTGTTTGTACAGGTATTACTCAACGTGATAGAGAAGTACAGCCCTAACACTGAGCCCAGCAATGGACTGTGAGTTCCACTTCCCTCAAACTACTTGCAGCTGTTGGTGTCCTTTAGAGAGGTTTTGAAGAAGCTTTATTTAAATAATTTGAACTGACAAGTCTCTCTCTCTCCTCAGATGTTGGGCGCGGTGCTTATACGCCACCCTGAGTGGTGAGTTCCTGTGTGTCAACGTGGTGTGTGCTGCTCTTGGCTGGAACGGGGGCAGTGGAGGAGCAGGAGCTAAAACATGGAGTCTGGTTCTGATACGAGGACTGAAACATGGAGTCTGGTTCTGAAACGAGGACTGAAACATGGAGTCTGGTTCTGAAACGAGGACTGAAACATGGAGTCTGGTTCTGAAACGAGGACTGAAACATGGAGTCTGGTTCTGAAACGAGGACTGAAACATGGAGTCTGGATCTGATACGAGGACTGAAACATGGAGTCTGGTTCTGATACGAGGACTGAAACATGGAGTCTGGTTCTGAAACGAGGACTGAAACATGGAGTCTGGTTCTGAAACGAGGACTGAAACATGGAGTCTAGTTCTGAAACGAGGACTGAAACATGGAGTCTGGATCTGATACGAGGACTGAAACATGGAGTCTGGTTCTGAAACGAGGACTGAAACATGGAGTCTGGTTCTGAAACGAGGACTGAAACATGGAGTCTGGTTCTGAAACGAGGACTGAAACATGGAGTCTAGTTCTGAAACGAGGACTGAAACATGGAGTCTGGATCTGATACGAGGACTGAAACATGGAGTCTGGTTCTGATACGAGGACTGAAACATGGAGTCTGGTTCTGAAACGAGGACTGAAACATGGAGTCTGGTTCTGAAACGAGGACTGAAACATGGAGTCTGGTTCTGAAACGAGGACTGAAACATGGAGTCTAGTTCTGAAACGAGGACTGAAACATGGAGTCTGGATCTGATACGAGGACTGAAACATGGAGTCTGGTTCTGAAACGAGGACTGAAACATGGAGTCTGGTTCTGAAACGAGGACTGGTCAATGACCTGCTTTTCATCTTTGAGGCTGTGTGTCTAGCTGCATTACTGCTCCTCTTAACCAGACATTCTCCATCCACCAGCCCTTACCTGCACAGTAAGGTGAGTGCTGACTAGGTTATTAACTATTCCTTAAAAGGTAATTCAACATGACAATCTTTAAAAAATATATATATATTTCACCTTATTTAACCTTTATTTAACCGGTAAGCCAGTTGAGAACAAGTTCTCATTTACAACTGCGACCTGGCCAAGATAAATCAAAGCAGTGCGATAAAAACAACAACACAGAGTTACATATGGGGTAAAACAAAACATACAGTCAATAACACAATAGAAAATCTATATACAGTGTGTGCAAATGTAGTAAGTTATGGAGGTAAGGAAATAAATAGGCCATAGTGCAAAATAATTACAATTTAGTATTAACACTGGAGTGATAGATGTGCAGAAGATGATGTGCAAATAGAGATACTGATGCTTAAAGTTAGTGAGGGAGATAAGCGTCTCCAGCTTCAGAGATTTTTGTAGTTCGTTCCAGTCATTAGCAGCAGAGAACTGGAAGGAATGGCGGCCAAAGGAGGTGTTTGCTTTGGGGATGACCAGTGAGATATACCTGCTGGAACGCATACTACGGGTGGGTGTTGCTATGGTGACCAATGAGCTAAGATAAGGCAGGGATTTGCCTAGCAGTGATTTATAGATGACCTGGAGTCAGTGGGTTTGGCGACAAATATGTAGTGAGGGCCAGCCAACAAGAGCGTACAGGTCACAATGGTGGGTAGTATATGGGGCTTTGGTGACAAAACGGATGGCACTGTGATAGACTACATCCAATTTGCTGAGTAGAGTGTTGGAGGCTATTTTGTAAATGACATCGCCGAAGTCAAGGATCGGTAGGATAGTCAGTTTTACGAGGGCATGTTTGGCAGCATGAGTGAAGGAGGCTTTGTTGCGAAATAGGAAGCCGATTCTAGATTTAACTTTGGATTGGAGATTCTTAATGTGAGTCTGGAAGGAGAGTTTTCGGTCTAACCAGACACCTAGGTATTTGTAGTTGTCCACATATTCTAAATCAGACCCGCCGAGAGTAGTGATTCTAGTCGGGCGGGCGGGTGCAAGCAGCGAAGAGCATGCATTTAGTTTTACTAGCGTTTAAGAGCAGTTGGAGGCTACGGAAGGAGTGTTGTATGGCATTCTCTAGTCAAGAATGTGATTCTTCCTAAAGGAATTCCTGCTTTTATGACATTCATCCTCCACTAACTTGTAACTGACCTAGCTGTTCCTAACCTTGTCCCCAGTCTAATTGGAAGGAAGTGTCTGGTGAATGAGATTGACATTTCCCCTAGCCAAAATCCAGTGTTTCCGCTGCACTCATTTAACTGTGTTGCTGTGCCACGGCAAAATCTCTGCAAACAAAACGAGTAATGAATAGAAAAATCTGACAACCCCCACAGTACAATAGTTTATCTACAGTGCTGTGAAAAAGTATTTGACCCCTCTCTGATTTTCTTTATTTTTGCATATCGTTGATACTGAACGTTATCAGATCTACAACCAAAACCTAATATTAGATAAAGGGAACCTGAGTTTACAAATAACAAAAAAGATATACTCATTTTATTTATTTAATTAACAAAGTTATGCAACACCCAATTCCCCTGTGTGAAAAAGTAATAGCCCCTTACACTGCAACCAAACGCTTCCTGTTGTTGTTGATCAGTCTCTCACATCGCTGTGGAGAAATTTTGGCCCACTCTTGCGTGCGGAACTGCTTTAACTCAGCGACATTTGTGGGTTTTCTAGCATGAACTTCAAGTCCTGCCACAACATCTCAATTGGGATTATGTCTGGACTTTGACTAGGTCATTCCATAACTACAAATGTGTTGCTTTTTAACCATTTTCATGTAGACTTGATTGTGTGTTTTGGATCATTGTCTTGCTGCATGACCCAGCTGTGCTTCAGCTTCAGCTCACAGACGGATTACCTGACATTCTCCTGTAGAGTTCTCTGATACAGAGCAGAATTAATTATTCCTGGCGAAAACCAAACACTGCATTCCACAGTAAGAACCTTATACCAACGGTCAAGCATGGTGGTGGTAGTGTGATGGTTTGGGGATGCTTTGCTCCCTCTGGACCTGGACAACTTGCCTTAATAGAAGGAACCATGAATTATGCTCTGTATCAGAGAATTCAACAACAACAAAATGCTCAAAAGCAACACATTTGAAGTTTTGGAATGGACAACCAGTTATTGAGTGTAAGGGGGCAATTACTTTTTCACACAGGGGCATTGGGTGTTGCATAACTTTGTTTATGAAATAAATGAAATAAGTATGCAATTGTTGTGTTATTTGTTCACTCAGGTTCCCTTTTATCTAATATTAGGTTTTGGTTGAAGATTGGTAACGTGCTGATAACATTCATTATAAACATTTGCTAAATTAGAAAGGGGGCAAATTCTTTTTCACAGCACTGTATTTACCATGTCACAGTGGTGGAAAAAGTACTCAATTGTCATACTTGAGTAAAAGTAAAGATACCTTAATAGAAAATGACTCAAGTAAAATTGAAAGTCACCCAGTAAGTACTTTACACCACTCCCTAGTTGGCCTGTTGTGTGTTCTATGTAAGATACATATTCCTTTCGAGGCGCATTTCAAGTTACGAGTGCCATAGGGAGGGAAACCTGCATTCTGACAAGCAGTCGATGCACAACAATTCTTGCAGTTTTAATGGCCTTTGTTAAAAAGAGAGTGTTCCCAGCTTTCCATTCCTACTTTATTTATTTCTCAACTCCTAAATATGTGTGAACTGCACCGTTTTAAACCCAAGAGTTTTTAGCAGCGTCATGGTTAAGCACGTTACCACTTGCAATTGGCTGTCATTAAGTGGTTTCTGTGAGAAGTACAGGCTAACAGGTAGACCTACCTAATATTCACTGTGTTTATGCAGGTTTTTTGGGACATAAATTCATCAGTAGGATGCTAACTAGTTAAAATATTAAATTTGGGCTCTGGCTAATGATTAGCCCAATAGGGCACATGCAGATAGGCAACCCCATGCTTCAGTCTATGTACAGTTGAAGTCGGAAGTTTACATACACTTACGTTGGAGTCATTAAAACTCGTTTTTCAACCACTCCACACATTTCTTGTTAAACTATAGTTTTGGCAAGTCGGTTAGGACATCTACTTTGTGCCTGACACAAGTAATTTTTCCAACAATTGTTTACAGACAGATTATTTCACTTATAATTCACTGTATCACAATTCCAGTGGGTCAGAAGTTTACATACACTAAGTTGACTGTGCCTTTAAACAGCTTGGAAAATTCCAGAAAATGATGTCATGGCTTTAGAAGCTTCTGAGAGGCTAATTGACATCATTTGAGTCAGTATGAAAATGAATGCACTCACTAACTGTAAGTCGATCTGGATAAGAGCGTCTGCTAAATGACTAAAATGTCAATGTAAATTGGAGGTGTACCTGTGGATGTATTTCAAGGCCTACCTTCAAACTCAGTGCCTCTTTGCTTGACATCATGGGCAAATCAAAAGAAATCAGCCAAGACCTCAGCAAGAAAATTGTAGACCTCCACAAGTCTGGTTCATCCTTGGGAGTAATTTCCAAACGCCTGAAGGTACCACGTTCATCTGTACAAACAATAGTATGCAAGTATAAACACCATGGGACCACACAGCTGTCATACCGCTCAGGAAGGAGACGCGTTCTGTCTCCTAGAGATGAACGTACTTTGGTGCGAAAAGTGCAAATCAATCCCAGAACAACAGCAAAGGACCTTGTGAAGATGCTGGAGGAAACAGGTACAAAAGTATCTATATCCACAGTAAAACGAGTCCTATATCGACATAACCTGAAAGGCCGCTCAGCAAGGAAGAAGCCACTGCTCCAAAACTGCCATAAAAAAGCCAGACTATGGTTTGCAACTGCACATGGGGACAAAGATCGTACTTTTTGGAGAAATGTCCTCTGGTCTGATGAAACAAAAATAGAACAGTTTGGCCATAATGACCATCGTTATGTTTGGAGGAAAAGGGGGGGCTTGCAAGCCGAAGAACACCATCCCAACCATGAAGCACGGGGGTGGCAGCATCATGCTGTGGGGGTGCTTTGCTGCAGGAGGGACTGGTGCACTTCACAAAATAGATGGCATCATGAGGAAGGAAAATTATGTGGATATATTGAAGCAGCATCTCAAGACATCAGTCAAGGAAGTTAAAGCTTGGTCGCAAATGGGTCTTCCAAATGGACAATGACCCCAAGCATACTTCCATAGTTGTGGCAAAATCACTTAAAGACAACAAAGTCAAGGTATTGGAGTGGCCATCACAAAGCCCTGACCTCAATCCTATTGAAAATTTGTGGGCAGAACTGAAAATGCGTGTGCGAGCAAGGAGGCCTACAAACCTGACTCAGTTACATCAGCTATGTCAGGAGGAATGGACCAAAATTCACCCAACTTATTGTGGGAAGCTTGTGGAAGGCTACCCGAAACGTTTGACCCAAGTTAAACAATTTAAAGGCAATGCTACCAAATACTAATTGAGTGTATGTAAACTTCTAACCCACTGGGAATGTGAATCACAGAAAATAAATGACATTTCACATTCTTAAAATAAAGTGGTCATCCTAACTGACCTAAAACAGGGAATTTTTGCTTGGATTAAATGTCAGGAATTGTGAAAAACTGAGTTTAAATATAAATATATTTGGCTAAGGTGTATGTAAACTTCCGACTTCAACTGTACATGTAGGTAGAGTTATTAAAGTGACTATGCATAGATAATAAACAGAGTAGCAGCAGTGTTAAAAGGGGGAGGGGGAGGGGGGGGGGCAATGCAAATAGTCTGGGTAGCCATTTGATTAGCTGTTCAGGAGTCTTATGGCTTGGGGGTAGAAGCTGTTAAGAAGCCTTTTGGACCTAGACTTGGCACTCCAGTACCCCATGCCATGCGGTAGCAGAGAGAACAGTCTATGACTAGGGTGGCTGGAGTCTTTGGCAATTTTAAGGGCCTTCCTCTGACACGCCTGGTATAGAGGTCCTGGATGGCAGGAAGCTTGGCCCCAGTGATGTACTGGGCCGTACGCACTACCCTCTGTAGTGCCTTGCGGTTGGAGGCCGAGCAGTTGCCATACCAGGCGGTGATGCAACCAGTCAGGATGCTCTTGATGGTGCAGCTGTAGAACATTTTGAGGATCTGAGGACCCATGCCAAATCTTTTCAGTCTCCTGAGGGGGAATAAGCTTTGTTGTGCCCTCTTCACGACTGTCTTGGTGTTTTTGGACCATGATAGTTTGTTGGTGATGTGGACACCAAGGAACTTGAAGCTCTCAACCTGCTCCACTACAGCCCCGTCGATGAGAATGGGGGCGTGCTCGGTCCTCCTTTTCCTGTAGTCCACAATCATCTCCTTTGTCTTGATCACATTGAGGGAGAGGTTGTTGTCCTGGCACCACACTGTCAGGTCTCTGACCTCCTCCCTATAGGTTGTCTCATCATTGTCGTTCATGGGTGAACAGGGAGTACAGGAGGGGACTGAGCACACACCCCTGAGGGGTCCCCCGTGTTGAGGATCAGGGTGGCAGATGTGTTGTTACCTAACCTTACCACCTGGGGGCGGCCCATCAGGAAGTCCAGGATCCAGTTGCAGAGGGAGGTGTTTAGTCCCAGGATCCTTAGCTTAGTGATGAGCTTTGAGGGTGCTATGGTGTTGAAAGTTGAGCTGTTGTCAATGAATTGCATTCTCACATAGGTGTTCCTTTTGTCCAGGTGGGAAAGGGCAGTGTGGAGTGCAATAGAGATTGCATCACCTGTGGATCTGTTGGGGTCGATATGCAAATTGGAGTGGGTCTAGGGTTTCTGGGATAATGGTGTTGATGTGAGCCATGACCAGCCTTTCAAAGCACTTCATGGCTACAGACGTGAGTGCTACGGGTCGGTAGTCATTTAGGCAGGTTACCTTAGTGTTCTTGGGCACAGGGACTATGGTGGTCTGCTTGAAACATGTTGGTATTACAGACTCAGTCAGGGTTGAAAATGTCAGTGAAGACACTTGCCAGTTGGTCAGCGCATGCTCAGAGTACAAGTCCTGGTAATCCGTCTGGCCCTGTGGCCTTGTAAATGTTGACCTGTTTAAAGGTCTTACTCACATTGGCTACGGAGAGCGTGATCACACAGTCGTTCGGAACAGCTGATGCTCTCATGCATGCTTCAAAGTTGCTTGCCTCTAAGCAATTTAGCTCGTCTGGTAGGCTTGAGTCACTGGGCAGCTCGCGGCTGTGCTTCCCTTTGAAGTCCGTAATAGTTTGCAAACCCTGCCACATCCGACGAGCGTCGGAGCCGGTGTAGTACGAATCAATTCACCTGTATGGTTAATGTACAACAACAAATGATTACTGTTCACACTGTTGTCTCTTTTCACCAGCTGGTATGGATCCATCAAGGAGACGACACCTCGTCTTCGGCCAGTAACCCTCCTGACCAGAACCAACACCACACCTTTTACTCTACACCACAGAACTAACTGACCCTCTCTCTGAAATGGCACCATATTCTCTTTATAGTGTGCTATATAGGGTAGAGGAAGCCATTTTGGACGCACCCTGATCCTGTTTGTCTGCATTGAAATGTTGAAGCGCTCTCTCTCAGGTTGCTGACCACTTGCAGCTGCAGACAGTCAATACCTCATTCCAATGGACTGATGCGTTTTTGCACAAAAATAAACTCTCCGAAAGTTGTCACTAAATTGAGTAACTATGCACCTTTTAAACTGATCAATAGATGACTGACATCTCCAAAGGGGGCCTTGTTTTTTTAAAAATGTAATTCCTTTGATTGGTCACAATGTGTTTGTCAACTGACCTGTGTATTCATTAGCCAGATTGTGCAATTTCATGTCAACTCCTTGTCACTCAATGTCATGTCAAATTTTTGGCTTGAAAATGAGCAATGGAGTTGGCAAGAGGAAAAACACTGACGCTCAGTCTATATTCATTCCACTATAGAAAGTTTATTTTCTGACAAACCAAATATTTTGTAAAGGTGTTGTTTCCTACTTGCCGACTAGCTAAAAAGGCATCGTAACATCGGTATGACCACTGCCATAAGTAATGCAGACAACAGTAGATTAGTTTGTCATTTTCTGTGATTGTACATTGAAGTAAGCTAACATTTATTCAGATATCACCTCGTCGTTTTAGCATTTATGGACCAAATACCTCTTCCTTCTCACCAGCATTTTCTAGGGGATTCATAGGTAAACGAATATACTCAGATCTGTGTAAATGTCTGATTGTTAATCTTGTACGTACAATGCGTCACAACACATTAAAATGTGAATAAAAATAATGAAGTGTTCCATTTCTTCTAGGTTGGTGCACCGCCCCTTTCCTCAGTTTAGGGCTGGAGTCAATCCATATCGCTGAAGATCCGCATTCAAATTAAAGGTCATTTCCGATTGAGCTGACATTTGCCGCATTTACCGTGAATGCAGTCTCTGCAACATTGCCTTTAAAAAAATGGTCAATCGCGCTATAAAGCGTATCGACAGTGCTACGGATTGATTTACTACCACTATAGTAAATATGACGAGGGAACACAGAGGCGACAGGTTGGCCACCAGCCGAGTACAGCTCACGTTGGTCTGTCATTTCCTAGATGGCAGAGATGAATATTAAGCTCATGATAGTGAACCCATCCACGTAGTACATCCCAACGAAGACATGACCTGAGCTCTGATAACAGCAACGTTTCATTTCAATGGTTTATTCTGCAGTATGTACAGATCATCCTATTAAAACTCTTTTTACAGTATATACAGGTTAAATCAACCCACTTTCCTAATAAGTTATAATGCCCCCCGCCTGCAGCAAAATCTTTGATATCCCAGAAATCAGAGAAAGACATGAAGGGGGAAAACAGTATAACGTCGTCCATCACTCGGGGTGCTATGGCTACACCCTATTCCCTAGATAAGTAGTGCACTACTTTCGACCAGAGACCTGTGCACTACATAGGGAATAGGGTGCCATTTCAGACAAAGCCAGACTACAATTTAACATGGCTTCCTTTAACTCAATGAGTCAGACCTCCCTGTAACACGGTCTGACAAGCTGGGGAATAAGGGTGATCAACTTTACAGTGAAGAAAAAAAATCAACCTTTCACGGTTGGATCAACTCCATGGTAGAAGGAGAAATACCAGTGACCTGAGATTTTTTTTAAACTGTCCACTTTGTTGTCACTGATCAAGTCTGTATTTGAAGAAGTCAGGTCTTAGGTCAGGTCTGTATTTGAAGAAGTCCGGTCTCAGGTCAGGTATGTATTTGAAGAAGTCCGGTCTCAGGTCAGGTCTGTATTTGAAGAAATCAGGTCAAGTCTGTATTTGAAGAAGTCCGGTCTCAGGTCAGGTCTGTATTTGAAGAAGTCCGGTCTCAGGTCAGGTCTGTATTTGAAGAAGTCCGGTCTGTGTGAAGAGGGGGGAAACAAAACACCTACAGATGGATCATAAGATGTCAGGCAGTAGAAATCTTGCTTTTATGTCCAACAACAACGAAAAGGTTGTGGAACACAACATGTTCCTTCTTCCTCTTTCTGTCGGAGTTTGAACAGCACAAAACACAGAGCCAGGAGGGGGAAAAGAGAAATAAAATACAGCTATTATTCTAAATTGGTCATCAATAAATGTATTGATTGATAAGTCAGTTCCCAGAATGCACCAGTAGGCATGTATTAGTGGTCAGGAGGAGGGGGTGTGGTCTCGAGTTTGCGGAGACGACGGCGCCTCAGCTCTGAAGGGTTGGGGTCTCCATCTTCCCCGACTTCCTCTCCATCTTCCCCGACTTCCTCTCCATCCCGCTTGTCTTCACTGTCGCCCAACGTGGTAGAGTCTGGCTGGGAGAAACCTGTCGCCCCGTTCACAGCTTCTGGTTCAGCAGCTGGAAAGAAGAGACAGAGGAGAGAAACAAGTGAGAAAATGTGTGTCTACAGTGTAAAACATGCCGCTTCACAGTCCCACTAACGGCTAGTCCGGATTCCTAACGGAATGATTCTGTTTCACTTCACAATGTCAGTCAGTCAATAGGAAGACTTAACTGTACTGTTCTGAGAGTCATTCTCCTGGGTTTCTGCACTAGTGGAGACTTACAGTGCATTCAGAAAGTATTCAGACCCCTTGACTTTTTCTACATTTTGTTAAGTTACAGCCTTCTTCTAAAATTGATTAAATAAATGTTTTTCCTCAATCTACACACAATACCCCATAATGACAAAGCAAAAATAGGTTTTTAACACTGTTTACAAATGTACAGTACCAGTCAAAGGTTTGGACACACCTACTCATTCCAGGGTTATTCTTTATTTTTACTATTTTCTACACTGTAGAATAAAAGTGAAGACATCACAACTATGAAATAACACAAATGGAATCATGTAGTAACCAAAAAAAAAGTGTTAAACAAATCAAAATATATTTTATATTTGAGATTCTTCAAATAGCCACCCTTTGCCTTGATGACAGCTTTGCACACTCTTGGCATTCTCTCAACCAGCTTCATGAGGTAGTCACCTGGAATGCATTTCAATTAACAGGTGTGCCTTCTTAAAAGTTAATTTGTGGAATTTCTTTCTTCTTAATGCGTTTGAGCCAATCAGTTGTGTTGTGACAAGGTAGGGGGGGTATACAGAAGATAGCCCTATTTGGTAAAAGACCAAGTCCATATTATGGCAAGAACAGCTTAAATAAGCATGGAGGAGGTGGTGTGATGGTGCTTTGCTGGTGACACTGTTGGTGATTTATTTAGAATTCAAGGCACACTAGCATGGCTACCACAGCATTCTGCAGCGATACGCCATCCCATCTGGTTTGCGCTTAGTGGGACTATCATTTGTTTTTCAACAGGACAATGACCCAAAACACACCTTCAGAATGTGTAAGAGCTATTTGACCAAGGAGAGTGATGGAGTGCTGCATCAGATGACCTGGCCTCCACAATCACCCTACCTCAACCCAATTGAGATGGTTTGGGATGAGTTGGACCGCAGAGTGAAAGAAAGGCAGCCAACAAGTGCTCAGCATATGTGGGAACTCCTTCAAGACTGCCTTTTACTGAGGAGTGGCTTCCGTCTGGCCACTCTACCATAAAGGCCTGATTGGTGGAGTGCTGCAGAGATGGTTGTCCTTCTGGAAGGTTCTCCCATCTCCACAGAGGAACTCTGGAGCTCTGTCAGAGTGACCTTCGGGCCCTTCTCCCCCGATTGCTCAGTTTGGCCGGGCGGCCAGCTCTAGGAAGTCTTGGTGGTTCTCAAGGATGATCAATGGAAACAGGATGCACCTGAGCTCAATTTCAAGTCTCATAGCAAAGGGACTGAATACTTATGTAAATAAGGTATCTGTTTTTTAGGTTTTATAAATTAGCAAAATTTTCTAAAAACCTGTTTTCGCTTTGTCATTATGGGGTATTGTGTGTAGATTGAGGTGGAAAATGTTTTAATATAATCAATTTTAGGATAAGGCTAACGTAACAAAATGTGGAAAAGGGCAAGTGGTCTGAACACTTTCCGAATGCACTGTACCTGTGCTGTTCTGAGAGTCATTCTCCTGGGTTTCTGCACTAGTTGAGACTTACCTGTGCTGTTCTGAGAGTCATTCTCCTGGGTTTCTGCACTAGTGGAGGAAGGAGATAATCCACTGGCCTCGCCAGCAGCGCTGCTGTTTTCTGACCGAGGAGGACTGAGGAGGAAAGGAGTAGTATAATTATCATATTGCTAAAACAATAAATGGAAAATGTTGACACACTAAAGATGTGGTTTTCCCCACATAAAAATGAAACAAGGCATCATTACGTGAGTGTGGCGACGGTAGTGAGGTAATGGTGGATGTTGAGCATGGCAGCGTCCAGTAGAGTGTGGATGTTGTGGAGACACTGCAGTCTGGCCTCCAGGCCCCTACGGCCCTCCTGCTCCAGCTCCGTCAGCTCAGCCTCTGACATGGTGGACAGGGCCGGGGGAGGAGGGGGCATGGCTGACACTGGGCCGGAACACACAGAGTAACAAGGTTATTCAAGATGCCTGCCTTAATACAGATTTGTGAACATCTCAGCCCTCGGCAACAGCCCTCCCTCGGCAACAGCCATCCCTCGGCAACAGCCATCCCTCGGCAACAGCCATCCCTCGGCAACTTGGTAAATAACAACAAACTTGTTGCTTGAAATGTTGAAAAATTGTGGCCCATCTACAGTACATCATGATGGAGGCTTCCTTTATAAGTGAAGGTGTAAGTGGGAATGACTCCAGCTCTTACCAAACGGTGGAGGTGGTGGCATAGTCAGCCACGGAGCTGAGGGGAACAGTGGGGGTGGGAAGGAGGGGAAAGGGGACCCAGGCATAGGGCCTCCTGGAGCCGGAGCAGCACCGACTGTACTGGCCCCAGCGGACTGACTGGTGCCTGATTCACACAAGGAGAAATGATGACTTAATGTTCACAGAATGTTAGGACAGACACTTTAGGGCTGGTCCCCCAGACCCAGAGGAAACATACTCCTGGACCAAAAAGCATGCTCAATTGAAAATCTCTATTGAACGTGCCATTTCGTCATCTAGGTCCGGGAAATTACCTCTTTAATTGGTTAATAGCTAGCTATTACACTAGAATGTGGAGGTTGGCCTGAGTCTACCCTCCCATTCAGAAAAGATTGACATTTTGACAAATGCCTGTCTTAAGTACCAGAGAGTAGAAATGAGACTCACCAGCTCCCTGAGTCTGAGCTGCCTCTGGGGCACCAGCAGGGGGGGCCGCTCCAGGGAAGGGGCCCCAGAAAGGAAACAGCCCTGGGGGGAAGTGGGGCATCATTCCTGGGCCAACTAAAGGAGACAAGAGGGAGACTCGTGTCAGTCAGCTGCTTGGGAGTCAACCCAGTTTATATCTAGTAACTTCATGAAACCATTACTAGGTTCCTATCAGATATCTAGTAACTTCATGAAACCATTACTAGGTTCCTATCAGATATGGTCCTCTGTAGCTCAACTGGTAGAGCACGGCGCTTGTAACGCCAAAGTAGTGGGTTCGATCCCCGGGACCACCCATACACAAAAAATGTATGCACGCATGACTGTAAGTCGCTTTGGATAAAAGCGTCTGCTAAATGGCATATTATATTATATTATATTATAAGATATCTAGTAACTTCATGAACCTATATTTGATGTTAGACAATGAACGTGTTGCTCTGTGTGGCGCTACCCACCGTTCCCAGGTGGACCAGGGACAGGGGCGTTGGCTGGTGCTGCTGGAGCAGGGGGCTGGGCAGGGGCTGGGGCAGGGGGCTGGTTGGGGTTAGAGGCCCGGAGGACATCCATACGACATGTAGGACACGTCTGCTGTCTCTGGAACCAGGAGCGAAGGCAACTTGAGATACAAAATGAAGGAAAAGGTTAGTTAGCTACACCGAGTTGGTGACTTAAACAGCAGAAAACCAACAGGATCAGCCCAAACAATAAACGGGATAGGAATGGTGATGAAATGTATTCATATGACTAGTCAAATATTTAAAAAAAAAAAAACATTTTCTTATCTTATTTTCTACTTTCTGATAATGTTCTGTCTAAAATAAGTATAGCGTAGATGTATCCATAAAATACCTTGAGTGGAAGATATGGTTGCAGGGAAGTTTCTTGGCTCCAGTCACCATCTCTTCACGACAGATGATACACACATTGTCTGAAGCCAGCAGATCTTCAGGAGTGGCATCTGGGTAACTGCAGAGATACAAATAGAGTTCATTGATCATTGACTAGTCCACTGATGTTTAGTCAATGTTATTCATCCTAAATGATGAATATGGTAAGAGGAACGATTTTTTTTCATTGTGGATACACAAAATAACCGGATGCATTGCACACTCACAGTGTATTCATGTTGCGGATGGCTCGCCGGGACATTATTGCATCCGTTACGGCTTTCTTGAACTGCCTAAAGAACAGAATCCAGAAATTCAAGTGTTCTAATGGTTACACATCTGCCTCTAATTAAAACTAAACAATAGAGAAGACAATCTGTTGGCCGGATAACATACGGGGTCTTCAGAGAGCCCTTGGTTCAGACTAGGTCCATGAATTTAGAGTGGCATCTTTATTCTAGGGTTCAGAGTAGCTGTGTTGCTCACCTCATAGCCAGGTACATGGGCCGGATGGCGAATAGGGGGAAGGTGTGCACCTTTATCATGATGGTCATGAACGCCATATACAGGAGGACCTTGATGAAACCTGGGAGGGAAGAGTGGGGAGATTTTAATGTCTTAAAACATCCCACTTCAGTATATACAGGACCAGTTTCCTGGACCCAAAACAACCCTAGTCCTGGACTAAAATAGCATGATTTTCATTCTAAGAAATGTGGCTTAATGTGGATCCAATAAACTGGACCTTTAAAGTTGTACAGTATGTGTAGAGTATCTTTAGTGATAAAGGTATCATACCAGTGAAGAGCTCAGTGTAAAGAGGATCTTTAGTGATAAAGGGTCTCTACCAGCGCAAGAGCTCAGTGTAAGGTATATCCAGGAAAGAGATCTTTAGTGATGTACAACATGAGATCATTTTAGTGATAAAGGTATTCATACCAGTGAAGAGCTTCAGTGTAAACAGTAAGTATCTTTAGTGATAAAGGTATCTACCAGTGAAGAGCTCAGTGTAAAGAGGATCTTTAGTGATAAAGGTATCCATAACCAGTGAAGAGGATTTAGGTGGACATATACAGTGATATAAAAGGTATTCTACCAGTGAAGAGCTCAGTGTAAAAGGATCTTAGGATAAAGGTATCATACCAGTGAAGAGCTCAGTTGTAAAGAGGATCTTTAGTGTAAGGTATCATACCAGTGAAGAGCTCAGTGTAAAGAGGATCTTTAGTGATAAAGGTACCCTACCAGTGAGACTCAGTGTAAAGGGGGACTTTAGTGATAAAGGTATCATACCAGTGAAGAGCTCAGTGTAAAGAGGATCTTTAGTGATAAAGGTATCATCCCAGTGAGAGCTCAGTTGAAAAGGGGAAATCTTTAGTGATAAAGGTATATACCAGGAAGAGCTCCGTGTAAAGAGGATCTTTAGTGAAAAAGGGATCATACCAGTGAAGAGCCCCGTTGTAAAGAGTAATTTAGTGTTTAAAGGTATATACCGTGAAGAGACTCGGGTGGAAAGAGGATCTTTAGTGATAAAGGTATCCTCCCAGTGAAGAGCTCAGTGTGAAAGAGGATCTTTAGTGATAAGGTATCATACCAGGGGAAGAGCTCAGTTTTAAAGAGGATCTTAGTGATAAAGGTATCGTACAGTGAAGAGCTCAGTGTACAGCTTTATCTTTAGTGATAAAGGTATCCTACAGTGGAAAGCTCCTTTTGGAAAAGAGGATCTTAGGTGAAAAAAGGTATCATACCAGTGAAGAGCTCAGGAAAAGAGGATCTTTAGTGATAAAGGTATCATACCAGTGAAGAGCTCAGTGAAAAGAGGGATCTTTAGTGATAAAGGTATCATACCAGTAAGAGCTCAGTGTAAAGAGGATCTTTAGTGAAAAAGGTATCGTACCAGTGAAGAGCTCAGTGTACAGCGACTTTAGTGATAAAGGAAATTCCTACCAGTGAAGAGCTCCGGTAAAGAGGATCTTTAGGATAAAGGTATCATACCAGGAAAAGCTCAGTGTAAAGAGGATCTTTGTGATAAAGGTATCTTTACCAGTGAAGAGCTCAGTGTAAAGAGGATCTTTAGTGATAAAGGTATCCTACCAGTGAAGAGCTCAGTGTAAAGAGGATCTTTGGATAAAGGTATCATACCAGTGAAGAGCTCAGTGTAAAGAGGATCTTTAGTGATAAAGGTATCATACCAGTGAAGAGCTCAGTGTAAAGAGGATCTTTAGTGATAAAGGTATCCTACCAGTGAAGAGCTCAGTGTAAAGAGGATCTTTAGTGATAAAGGTATCATACCAGTGAAGAGCTCAGTGTAAAGAGGATCTTTAGTGATAAAGGTATCCTACCAGTGAAGAGCTCAGTGTACAGCATGTAGACTGCTTTGTTGTCCCAGGGGCTGTCACTCTGGAGGTGGACAGTGTGGAGGGTGTACTTGATGAAGGTGGTGAGCACCATAGTCATCAGGATGGCGTACTAAACAACCAGAGGAACAACTACAGTTATTATTTAGGTATTTCAGAAGTGTGCCGAATTATTACCAACTGCTTAGATTCATCAAGACAACGAATATTACTTCAAAAAGAAATGCGGCAGGCATATATGAATAAAGCGTCACATGACTGAAATTCAAAAAATGTGTAGTTTTACAAACCTCAAATCCAAAGACCAGTTGGACAGAGGCCCCCCGTGTGATGATACTGTGACAGGCATGGTTGACGAACAGGAAGTCCAGAACTCCCAGCAACACCATCAGAGCTATGAGAGAGAGACGCAATGATTTAGATCTCTTCACTCCTACCAGTCATTTTGACTAAACACTAGTATAGGTCTAGACGTTCTTGCCCAGATATGCCAGTTGCGTTATCACTCTTGGATTGCGTCCTACCTGACAGGTCGCTCCTACCAGGTGGCGTGGCGAGAATCTGTCTCCGCACCACGTGCTCTCACCACTGGTGTCCCCCAGGGCTCAGTTCTAGGCCCTCTCCTATTCTCACTATACACCAAGTCACTTGGCTCTGTCATATCCTCACATGGCCTCTCCTATCATTGCTACGCAGATGACACACAATTAATCTTCTCCTTTCCCCCTTCTGATAACCAGGTGGCGAATCGCATCTCTGCATGTCTGGCAGACATATCAGTATGGATGACGGATCACCAACTCAAGCTGAACCTCGGCAAGACGGAGCTGCTCTTCCTCCCGGGGAAGGACTGCCCGTTCCATGATCTCGCCATCACGGTTGACAACTCCGTTGTGTCCTCCTCCCAGAGTGCAAAGAGCCTCACCACCTTCCGGAGACACTTGAAACCCCACCTCTTTAAGGAATACCTGGGATAGGATGAAGTAATCCTTCTACCCCCCCCCCCCCCCCCCCCCCCCTTACCCCACCCCAAAATAATAAAATAAAAAATTCTAACAAATAAAAAATATATAAAATAACTAAAAAATATATTTAACAAAATAAGGTGAATGCACCTATTTGTACGTCGCTCTGGATAAGAGCGTCTGCTAAATGCCGAAAATGTAAATGTAATCAAGCGTCAAGGTCGATGTTTCGTTTTACTGGTGTGCATCCAGGACCAGGTGCAGTAGTCTGATATTTGCATACAGCTGTAATTTAAGAAACACACTTGGTCCTGAAAACCCCAGTTTCACATATCTGTGAATAAATCAGTAGCACTCCAGAAAGTAGTAAAGATTACAGTCCTGATATACACTGTAGGGTCTATTCAAAGATTATATAACCCATACTGTAATGTAAACGTATACCACTGAAGAGCCCATTACAAGATATTGTATATCACTGAGTGGGCCTTTAACACATTGAAAAGATATAACCCATACTCACATAACACCCTGAAGTGGAAGAGCCAGGATATATTAGGACTTCGCTCCATCTGAGTGAGAAGGTTTGGAAAATACCATAAGAACAGACAGACACTTGCTTTCCTTTCACATTCATTGCCACTTTATGGATGGTAAACATGTTTGTTGTATAGTAACTAAATGGCTTAACTATGTGAAATATCTATACAAATGTGTTTTTTAACATGTAACAGCGTCTCACAAAGTCCACCCTGTCCTCAGCCAGCCAGTGGAAGCACTTGATGAAGAGCAGCAGGGTGAAGAGTGCTACGAAGCGGGGAGAGAAGTCATCTCTGAACACTGTGAAGGCCAGACACGTCTCTGTGACAGCATACCAGGACCGCTCGATCAGGTGCTGAAGGGAGAGGAAGTTGAATATTAGTTATAAACTTTATACACTTATCATACTGACCCAACCTGTACTGGCTTTGATATTTTATTTTCAGATTTTCCTTTCCAGCATGAGTCTAGCAAATATGGTGGATGTGTAATCGAGACAGCGCAGTACAGCTTGGCTTGTGAAGAGGGTATAATGGTTGCAACACAGGCCTAAGCAACAACGGCATTACATTACATAGAAGACCAGTGGTAGTTATTGAGCAATACAGATCTGGTACTCTAGTAAACCAAACAGGAGTAAACAAACACTGAAATAACATATGGATTGGTCCATACCTCCATCTCTGCAGCTCTCAGCTGTCCGAAGAAGACTTTACGCATGAACTTTCCCAACAGGAACACCAACACAAACGCCTGGATGTACAACACCTGCCGCATAGAGGGGGAGGGAGGGAAAGCCACGTTACAGACCACACATCTGATAAACATATCAAAGGGGATGTAGAGAACGGTGTGTGTACTCACCGCCATACTGGGGCTGCTCTTGGTGAGGTAGACCACAGTGGGGTAGAACTGGTGTTTGAGCAAGTAGGCATGGGAAACCACTGCGCCAGTCAGAGCCAGACTGGTGGCAGTCACCAGGGCCGCACGCACCATGGTGCAGGCAGTATCTACAGCTGTGTGGTAGGAAGACAGGGGCAACACAGTCAGGCAGTAATCTACAGCTGTTTGGTAGATAGTGCCTGACTGAGCGGCAGGTAGCTTAGTGGTTAAGAGCGTTGTGCCAGTAACCGAAAGGTCGCTGGTTCTAATCCCCGAGCCGACTAGGTGAAAAATCTGTCGATGTGCCCTTGAGCAAGGCACTTAACCCTAATTGCTCATGTAAGTCGCTCTGGATAAGAGCGTCTGCTAAATGACTAAAAATGTAAAATGTGTGGTAGCAAGACAGGGCAACGCAATCGGAATGTAGAGCAGGTTAGGACCTTGTAATTTCATAATCCTGGCTGTTGGACAATCCAATTTGGAAGGTATCCAATTGTTTCCTTATAACTCACTAGATAGCTAACAGCCAGTGAATATATACATGCATGTTGACAGCTGCCTAGGGGCAAGTGTAAACAGAGAGCAATGTTTGAACTAGATTGACACTGACATCAACAAAAAGACATCTTCACTCAATTTGATTTAGCCTTCATTTCGCTCAAACTAAACCTGCATTGTTGAAATGCCAAATTGTATCTATCAAGCTAGGTAGATGTATCGGATGGCAAGTCAATAAGATAGCTAACAAGACAGCTTGCCTAGTTTGACATTTTGCTAACACCCTATTCAACTCAGCCACATAAAGCTAATCCTTAGTTAGCTAGCTAGTTAACAATGCAATATTATAGTTGAAGGGGTGTGTTAGCTAATCTGGCCTGGAAGGGACTGTTCTTTCTCTGCATATCCAGCTAGTTTAGCTAACTACCTAACGTTAGTTAGCTGTACTACTGTTACTGTAGTGCGAAACTAATTTGGACAACTACCTAGCTAGCTAGCTAGCTAACGTTAGCTACTCACGGATTCGATGACGTTTTCGCCACGGAATGCACTTTGCTGAGCTTGTTCCAACGCCTTGATTTGGGGGTGTTTACTCTGATTACAAGATGTATCAGCTCCCTCAACTATATCACGACCAATTACGTTTCCATTCTTCGAGCATTTCTCTGTCTAGTTCACTAACATTGATGCCCCCAAAGACGCCTACCTGAGTCTCTCTGATACGTGTTTATCTTTGGCTTGCTCCTCCAAGTGGCCACCTCACTTCCGGGGAAATCCAAACTAGCTAGCTAGCTAGCCAACCAGCAATTCAAGGGGATATGCGTTCGATGGAAACCGTTTAACGTTAGCTGTTGCGCAACGGAAGAAAAGCCGTTGAATAGCAAGCTAACTGACGTAGCATTCCAATATAAACCGTGACACTCAGCCCGCAGAATTCCTGTCAGTGTAGCTAAGAGCTAACTACATGACTTGTCCTCGATGGGAGTGCATGGGTTTTCATACCGGCGTACCCCGGCGGCGTTTTGGCATTGGATTTGTACCCTGGTGACAGTTAACAGACCATATTTTAGTAGACCTGCGGTAACAAACCAACGCGGACCAATAGATGAACATGTATAACTATTTTACCTATGGGGGTCTGGCAAGTTGACTTCCTACCACGTACTACCGCCAATCAAATTATAGGTTATATTAACCGTAATGATTGTAGTGGCGCACCTCTACAATTTCAGCATCACAACAAAAGTACGCACCAATGCATGTTTTTCAATAGAAGTTGTCCTAACAGACAAGTATGGACAAAACAGTCAAAAATAACATGTGAATAAAATGTAGTCATTGTTACCCATTATAAGTTTACTTTATTGTGCTAATGAAGTTGATCATGTCATATCAGAATAATGCCACTAACTGTACCCTATACAGTCGTGGTCAAAAGTTTTGAGAATGACACAAGTATTGGTCTTCACAAAGTTCGTTGCTTCAGTGTTACGAGATATTTTTTGTCAGATGTTACTATGGTATACTGAAGTATAATTACAAGCACTCCATAAGTGTCAAAGGCTTTTATTGACAATTACATTACGTTTATGCAAAGAGTTCATATTTGCAGTGTTGACCCTTCTTTTTCAAGACCTCTGCAATCTGCCCTGGCATGCTGTCAATTAACTTCTGGGCCACATCCTGACTGATGGCAGCCCATTCTTGCATAATCAATGCTTGGAGTTTGTCAGAATTTGTGGGGTTTTGTTTGTCCACCTGCCTCTTGAGGATCGACCACAAATTCTCAATGGGATTAAGGTCTGGGAAGTTTCCTGGCCATGGACCCAAAATGTCGATGTTTTGTTCCCCGAGCCACTTAGTTATCACTTTTGCCTTATGGCAAGGTGCTCCATCATGCTGGAAAAGGCATTGGTCGTCAACAAACTGTTCTTGGATGGTTGGGAGAAGTTGCTCTCGGAGGATGTGTTAGTACCATTCTTTATTCATGGCTGTGTTCTTAGGCAAAATTGTGAGTGAGCCCACTCCATTGGCTGAGAAGCAACCCCACACATGAATGGTCTCAGGATGCTTTACCGTTGGCATGACACAGGACTGATGGTAGCGCTCACCTTGTCTTCTCCGGACAAGGTGTTTTCCGGATGCCCCAAACAATCGCAAAGGGGATTCATCAGAGAAAATGACTTTACCCCAGTCCTCAGCAGTCCAATCCCTGTACCTTTTGCAGAATATCAGTCTGTCCCTGATGTTATTCCTGGAGAGAAGTGGCTTCTTTGCTGCCCTTCTTGACACCAGGCCATCCTCCAAAAGTCTTCGCCTCACTGTGCGTGCAGATGCACTCACACCTGCCTGCTGCCATTCCTGAGCAAGCTCTGCACTGGTGGTGCCCCGATCCCGCAGCTGAATCAACTTTAGGAGACGGTCCTAGCGCTTGCAGATTTTCTTGGGCGCCCTGACGCCTTCTTCACAACAATTGAACCTCTCTCCTTGAAGTTCTTCATGATCCGAAAAATGGTTGATTTACTAGCAGCAATATCCTTGCCTGTGAAGCCCTTTTTGTGCAAAGCAATGATGACGGCACGTGTTTCCTTGCAGGTAACCATGGTTAACAGAGGAAGAACAATGATTTCATGCACCACCCTCCTTTTAAAGCTTCCAGTCTGTTATTCTAACTCAATCAGCATGACAGAGTGATCTCCAGCCTTGTCCTCGTCAACACTCTCACCTGTGTTAACGAGAAAATCACTGACATGATGGCAGCTGGTCCTTTTGTGGCAGGGCTGAAATGTAGTGGAAATGTTTTTTGGGATTAAGTTCATTTTCATGGCAAAGAGGGACTTTGCAATTAATTGCAATTCATCTGATCACTCTTCATGACATTCTGGAGTATATGCAAATTGCCATCATCAAAACTGAGGCAGCAGACTTTGTGAAAATTAGTATTTGTGTCATTCTCAAAACTTTTGACCACGACTGTACACCAAAACATACCTAGCCTCCACAGGATCCAAAAAGAGGGCACAAAATGGTTAATTAATACAGAAACAGTCACTGTCACTTGAATACATACAGTGCCTTGCAAAAGTATTCATCCCCCTTGGCGTTTTTCCTATTTTGTTGCATTACAACCTGTAATTTAAATTGATTTTTATTTGGATTTCATGTAATGGACATACACAAAATAGTCCAAATTGGTGAAGTGAAATGAAAAAAATGTTTCAAAAAATTATAAAAAATAAATAATGGAAAAGTGGTGCGTGCATATGTATTCACCCCCTTTGCTATGAAGCCCCTAAATAAGATCTGGTGCAACCAATTACCTTCAGAAGTCACATAATTAGTTAAAGTTCACCTGTGTGCAAACTAAGTGTCACATGATCTCAGTATATATACATCTGTTCTGAATGGCCCCGGAGTCTGCAACACCACCAAGCAAGCGGCACCATGAAGACCAAGCAGCTCTCCAAACAGTTCAGGGACAAAGTTGTGGAGAAGTACAGATCAGGGTTGGGTTATAAAAAAATATCAGAAACTTTGAACATCCCACAGAGCACCATTAAATCCATTATTAAAAAATAGAAAGAATATGGCACCACAACAAACCTGCCAAGAGAGGGCCGCCCACCAAAACTCACGGACCAGGCAAGGAGGGCATTAATCAGAGAGGCAACAAAGAGACCAAAGATAACCCTGAAGGAGCTGCAAAGCTCCACAGCGGAGATTGGAGTATCTGTCCATAGGACCACTTTAAGCCGTACACTCCACAGAGCTGGGCTTTATGGAAGAGTGGCCAGAAAAAAGCCATTGCTTAAAGAAAAACATAAGCAAACACGTTTGGTGTTCACCAAAAGGCATGTGGGAGACTCTCCAAACATATGGAAGAAGGTACTCTGGTCAGATAAGACTAAAATTGAGATTTTTGTCCGTCAAGGAAACGCTATGTCTGGCGCAAACCCAACACCTCTCATCACCGCGAGAACACCATCCCCACAGTGAAGCATGGTGGTGGCAGCATCATGCTGTGGGGATGTTTTTCATCGGCAGGGACTGGGAAACTGGTCAGAATTGAAGGAATGATGGATGGCGCTAAATACAGGAAAATTCTTGAGGGAAACCCGTTTCAGTCTTCCATTGATTTGAGATTGGGATGGAGGTTCACCTTCCAGCAGGACAATGACCCTAAGCATACTGCTAAAGCAACACTCAAGTGGTTTAAGGGGAAACATTTAAATGTCTTGGAATGGCCTAGTCAAAGCCCAGACCTCAATCCAATTGAGAATCTGTGGTATGACTTAGAAAGATTGCTGTACACCAGCGGAACCCATCCAACTTGAAGGAGCTGGAGCAGTTTTGCCATGAAGAATGGGAAAATTCCCTGTGGCTAGATATGCCAAGCTTATAGACATACCCCAAGAGACTTGCAGCTGTAATTGCTGCAAAAGGTGGCTCTACAAAGTATTGAATAGTGATGCACGCTCAAGTTTTTTTTTCACAATAAAAAAATATTTTGCATCTTCAAAGTGGTAGGCATGTTGTGTAAATCAAATGATACAACCCCCCCCCCAAAAAAAAATCACTTTTAATTCCAGGTTGTAAGGCAACAAAATAGGAAAAATGCCAAGGGGCGGTGAATACTTTCGCAAGCCACTGTATGTACAGAGAATCGACAAGCATTGTTGACATTGATAACTTTATTGATGAAAGTTCTCATCTTCTATCTGAAGAGAAGTGTGATGTTTCTAGCTTGTCACCTGTTCAAAGCATTGGGTAATGGATCCCCCCATATCATAGTTATCAGTTAGACATACTTTATTTAAAAAGGCAGCAAATCAGTGTTTTTTTTTCTAGCGATAGAAACTATAAAAAGGAAACATTTTGTTATGAAATCTGGGTCTAATAGTAAACATATGATATCTATACCTTAAGATGGCAAGTAAGAAAAGTTCTCAGAGTAAAAGCAGAAGTAGATTGACTGTCGGTAAAAGGTTGAGTAGTAGTGATATACATTTCATCATTTCTTTTAAAAACTAAAAACGTACAGAAAGAAAATCGTTCACTAACATTTTGAACAAATGTTATGCAAAATCAAAACATTATTAAAAAGGTACATGCTTTCCAGTCCTACAACTCTCAATAGAAGAAGCACATGGTTGGTAGTGACGACTCAGAGCATTAGTTTGTCCATTATTTTGTGCTGCTACTCAGAATATTCTTCTGCAGGTTTTACTTCCATCTTCTGCTTGTAGCCTCAGTTTCTCTTTCAACATAATTCTGCTGCTCTGGGTTCAAAATCCCTTCCGCAGCCAGATAGTGGAAACAGTTCAGCCTTTGATGACCTGCTTTTGCTCATTAAACATAGCAAAACAATTATAAAGTTACGGCAAAAAATAAATGTGTAAAATAATCTCCCAGCCTGGCAGGCCACCATTAGGACACTGAAGAGATGGGGTTGAGAGTCTGGTCTGGGGGTACAACCATTAGGACACCGAAGAATGGGGGGTTGCGAGTCTGGTCTGGGGGGGGGGGGGGGGGCAACCATTAGGACACTGAAGAGATGGGGTTGAGAGTCTGGTCTGGGGGGGGGGGGGGGGGGGGGGGGGCAACCATTAGGACACTGAAGAGATGGGGTTTGAGAGTCTGGTCTGGGGGGGGCACCATTAGGACACTGAAGAGATGGGGTTGAGAGTCTGGTCTGGGGGTACAACCATTAGGACACCGAAGAGATGGGGTACTGAGAGTCTGGTCTGGGGGGCAACCATTAGGACACCGAAGAGATGGGGTTGAGAGTCTGGTCTGGGGGGGGGGGGTGGAGGACCATTAGGACACTGAAGAGATGGGGTTGAGAGTCTGGTCTGGGGGGGGGCAACCATTAGGACACAGAAGAGATGGGGTTGAGAGTCTGGTCTGGGTGGGGGGGGGGCAACCATTAGGACACTGAAGAGATGGGGTTGAGAGTGTGGTCGGCAACCATTAGGACACTGAAGAGATGGGGTTGAGAGTGTGGTCGGCAACCATTAGGACACTGAAGAGATGGGGTTGAGAGGAGAGCCCATCTGTGTCAGCACTTTATCCAGCCACTGCAGAGGGCCGTGAAGGTGCACTTCTATCCAACAGGGGGTGCTGGTGACATCTTGTCGGTGATACTCAGCTCCCCAGCCCTGTGGAGAGGGAGAAAGAGAGAGATAAAGCTGGGTCATATTCACCAAAGGAAGTACATGGTCAGAAAAGGAGTGAAAAAGCAAACTTGTCCAATAAGAAATGTTTGTTTTCCATTGCGCAATGTTTTGCTACAGTGTGGCCTAATGTTACTCTCAACATTGCAGATTTGCTCTTTCAATGAAATTAAGTTAATTTTAAAAAACGGTTATTTCCACAATTCTTTTTTTTTTAATCATCAATGACCAAGATCATAAAGCAGTGAATCGTACATAGTACTGAAACTAATAGAAATGTAACTGTATATCACCTTTACAAAGCTCATGCGGATGGTGCACATCTTGGTGAGTTCGTAGACAGCCTCAAAGCCGTGGTTAACAGACTGGGCCAGTAGCTGAGCAAATTCCTGGTTGTTAAAGATCTTCAGACTGCAGCCACTAGGGATCTTACACACCGTGGTGGGGTGGAAACCGTGGTGGTAGTTACAGTTACGACTCTGAACGAAGATACTGGTGTCGCTCAGACACTCTGCATAGACCTCACCTCCTACATAGTACAGGTGGACCCCTGGCGGAGGGGGGGAAGTGAGAGGGGAGAGAAAGAGGGAGAGATACAACTCTGAACGAAGATGCTGGTGTCAGACACTCTGCATAGACCTCCAACATAGTACAGGTGGACCCCTGGCGGAGGGGGAGGGGAAAAAAAAGCTCAAAACGCTTGTGTTTCTAGCTCCAACAGAGCAGTAAAACCTAGGAATAAAAATTAATTAACCATCTATAAATTTAAAAAAATACATGTTTCAATGGAACATCACGCATGTTTCAACTGAATATCACAAACGTTTTTCACCATTCCTTCCCCCCCCCCCCACTTTCTCTGAACCTCATCTCCATTTTCAAGACCTCATCAACTAATCTAGTCATCTCTACGTGTTGCCCTGCTCACCTTTACTGACGTGGGAGGCACATTTGCGTTTATGCTCACCTTTGCCGATGTGGCGGCGTGTGTTCTCTATGGTTGAGTTGCGGTTGACGTTGGAGAGCAACCCCAGGCAGAAGCGGTTCTTGTTGTTGGAGGGGTCGGTGAAGCCGTCCACCAGGACGCTGGTAGAAGAGGCATGGTAGGCCTCACCCACTCTGTTGTTCAACTCATAGTACACAATACTGCACCAGTGGCTAGGTTCCTCATACTCCACTGGCTGCACATCTACAGGGAGAAGGTGGAGAGGAGAGAGGGATGAGAGGAGGCTGTTCAACTCATAGAACACAATACTGCACCAGTGGCTAGGTTCCTCATACTCCACTGGCTGCAGGGGTCCTTCTATGTTCTAAAGGAAAAGGGATGCGTAATCTTGAAATGTACAATTTAATTTTATTCAATTCATGAATGATGTTGTGCATTTGTAGTGCCCATGGTTCCCTTTCAGTCAGTCAACTTCCGTACAACAAACTACGGGGAGTTGCACTCTCGCGACAATCACGCTGTGACAAGGCCAATGAAATCCGCGCCTCGCTGGAAGTCCCGCCTTCCACAGGTGATAAGCGTGAGGCCCGTCTTCATTCCTTCAATCGTTCAGCTCTTCACCTTGAATGATTCACGCTTTTAAAAAACACACACACACTTACATTGCGCCAACTAAACTGTCCCTTAGTGGTAGCGTGCTAACACCCTGGACATTGTGTGCTGAAGTTTGTATGGTTCTCATAAGTTTCCTAATCACAAACAATTAGTTATTCTTAGAATTGCTTGGCCTGGCTATAGCAATAAAGTAAGATGGCTAACGCGACCGAAACGATGAAGGCTAATGTAGCAGGAGCTGTTTTCACCTGCATGTAGATTATTTGTATGAAGTTCGTGAAAATATTATATTCTCATTCTAAAGGGAATGAGTTACAAGATGTTACGTCGCTATTCAAGGCTCTTATGCCCTCGCATGGTATAAGCAAGCTGGTATTGGTCTGATGTCAAGTTCACCGTTGCCACCATATTTGAGTTACCTTTCACTTATGATTATGGCAAAGATGGTACGCTTCTTTTTGTGATATAACATGTCATAATTCTCATACAAGTCTAGTCTAACTGTCTAAAGTGCTTATTTAATGTGTGTGTATATATATATATATATTATGTAACTGTGTGAAGATCAGACTATCTCAGTATCTTGATGTATTTTGTATCGTGATGCTAGCCAGCTACCTGGCGCTAAACAAACGTTCTGAATGTTTACTCTGCTAGCTAATGAGGCGTGAAATGCCTAACGTCACCACGAGCGGCCAAGACAAAAGTTGTGACTATTATATTTTCATGTACAGGAGCTGGAGGAATGTAAATACATAACCGTCTGATTCTAACTTGAACACCTACATTGTGTGCTTTATTGCCAGACTACAATAAACAGGGCACTTGCCTGAACCCGATGATCCTGTATGTGCGTATCAGTCCTGCAAAGCAGCGACAGCCAAGAATCGAGGGGTTACACTAATAAGCTGGGTTCGCAACCATGCCCGTTTGTTGTCTTGTATTTCTCGGCGCATGCTCAGGCTGCCCTCGCCCCAATCAGTTAGTGTGCGAGACTAGGGGACGGCTGGCACCGTTACCCCTACTAGTCGGCAGGTAGCTTAGTGGGTAAGAGCGTTGTGCCAGTAACCAAAAGGTCGCTGGTTCTAATCCCCGAGCCGACTAGGTGAAACATTTGTCGATGTGCCCTTGAGCAAGGCACTTAACCCTAATTGCTCCTGTAAGTCGCTCTGGATAAGAGCGTCTGCTAAATGACTTAAATGTAGTCCGCGGCGCAGGTTCTCTTGACAATCGTGTAAACATTCTTTAGGGGGCTTGGTGTTCCCGATAGTGACTTCCTCTCCCGGGTGCCCGTACCTCAGCTGAGTGGAGGTTGAGGGACGCCGAGATGGTTTGGGTGGTTGGTCTGGTCGAATGCCCCCCCCTGCCACCTGTGTCTGCCTTGGTTAAGCACCGCTTGCCTCTCTTCCCAGAAGGGTCCAGGTCCCACCTTGGTGATCCGGTCCAACGTAGACTTTAGAGATCAAGCTAGCTAACAAGCGCTGCATAACGTGCTAGCCAGGTTAGCCAACTTGCCGAGGCGAGCTACATTTACATTTACATTTTAGTCATTTAGCAGACGCTCTTATCCAGAGCGACTTACAGGAGCAATTAGGGTTAAGTGCCTTGCTCAAGGGCACATTAACGTCATTTAGCAGACGCTCTTAGCCAGAGCGACTCACAAATTGGTGCGTTCACCCTATAGCCAGTGGGATAACCACTTTACAATAGCTAGCTATTCCGGCTCCCAAATGATGAAAATGCTAGGGTAGCTCGCTTGTTTAGTATATGCTAATTGCTTGGTTATTCTAAAAATGGACAGTGCTGCGGTCAAAGAGGATAGCTAACCTAGCTTAGACCAGAAGCCTTATCATGGCTAACGTCAGCTAGCATGCATCATTTTCGGCAAATGCAACTTACTAGCTATCCCCGGGGCGTTATGGTAATCATCTCAGACCTGTCTCTAAACCTATTGCGTGCTATTGGACTTGGTTTTGGAGGCATTGTGTGCGGCCCCCTTCGAGCCTCTGAAGTTCCTCTCATGCAAAACCTCCCTGCTTATGGCTTTGGCCTCAGATAAACGCGTTGGGGACCTCCATGCGCTATCCGTACAGCCTTCTTGTACTCAGTTGGCCCCGGGCGACTAAGGTGACGCTGCGTTCACAAGCGGCCTTCGCCCCGAAAGTCATGGCTATGTCCTACAGGTCCTTAGCTTTGAGTCATTTCCCTTTTTCACCTCCTCCTTTTGCTTCTTTAGATCAACAGAGGTTACATGACCTATGTCCGGTGTCAGCTTTATGCACGTACATTGAATGGACCCAGGATTTCCGGTCACGTGACCAGCTTTTTTGTCTGTTTTGCTAATCCAGTTTGCGACAGGGCGCTCTCTAAGCAGACCCTGGATTGTGAAGGCTATCTCCCTGGCATATAGCAGCAATATAATATAATAATATAATATGCCATTTAGCAGACGCTTTTATCCAAAGCGACTTACAGTCATGCGTGCATACATTTTTACGTATGGGTGGTCCCGGGGATCGAACCCACTACCCTGGCGTTACAAGCGCCATGCTTTACCAATTGAGCTACAGAGGACCAACAAGGGTTACCTAGTGGTGTACGCGCCGACTCCACCAGGGGTCTGGCAGCGTCTTGGGCGTTGTTTAAAGGGTTGACTATAGGAGATATTTGTGCTGTGGTGAGTTGGGCATCACCACACACTTTCGAGGTTTTATTGCTTGGGTGTCACTGCTCCCAGTATAGCCCACAGTGTGTTTACTGCTGGGACAGGGGGAAAGTCACTAGGCAATAATCCCTGGTAAATAAAGTTGAAAGTCAGACTCCTCACCCCCACTAGGCATGTTCCTGGGCCCGCTGCTGTTGGTCTCCATGGACCCCTCCTGTCCCATCTGCTCGTCAGGGGGCATGTAGGCCGGGGGTGGGGTGTCAGCTGGAGAGGGAAGAACACAATGGACGGATAGTTAGAGGAGACCAGCTGCTGCTGATGACAAATGGCTGTCCACAAACTCACAGCGGACGGACACACACACACACACACACACACACACACACACACACACACACACACCACTCCGACAACTCCCAAGAGGAGTTAAAACCCACCCACCACCACAGGATCTTTCTCTACCCGGAAACAGGTGCAAGGTTTTCACACACACACACATCCATCACATGGTACACTCGTCTATGGATCTATGGACAGTCCCATTAGTGCTGTATTACAGAACCACTTATGGAGGACAGAAATTGAGATGTGGGTGGGGACTAATTGGTAATGTTTTTTATGAAGAAAGACTGGTCTTCCTACAGACCAAACATTTACAGGTTACCACCGTGCTTAAGAGGGTGGCCAGATTTCTCTGGATAATAACACGGCTGCCCAAACTGACAATTCAAATCAAACAACTCCGCTTTCCTCCTGTTACACCACATAGAAGTGATAACACTAGCACTGTAGTGATTCAATCCTGGGGGCAATTCACCACATAGAAGTGATAGCACTAGCACTGTAGTGATTCAACCCTGGGGGCAATTCACCACATAGAAGTGATAGCACTAGCACTGTAGTGATTCAATCCTGGGGGCAATTCACCACATAGAAGTGATAGCACTAGCACTGTAGTGATTCAACCCTGGGGGCAATTCAGCACATAGAAGTGATAGCACTAGCAGTGTAGTGAATCAATCCTGGGGGCAATTCACCACATAGAAGTGATAGCACAAGCAGTGTAGTGAATCAATCCTGGGGGCAATTCACCACATAGAAGTGATAACACTAGCACTGTAGTGATTCAATCCTGGGGGCAATTCAGCACATAGAAGTGATAACACTAGCGGTGTAGTGATTCAATCCTGGGGGCAATTCACCACATAGAAGTGATAACACTAGCGGTGTAGTGATTCAATCCTGGGGGCAATTCACCACATAGAAGTGATAACACTAGCACTGTAGTGATTCAATCCTGGGGGCAATTCACCACATAGAAGTGATAACACTAGCACTGTAATGATTCAATCCTGGGGGCAATTCACCACATAGAAGTGATAACACTAGCACTGTAGTGATTCAATCCTGGGGGCAATTCACCACATAGAAGTGATAACACTAGCACTGTAGTGATTCAATCCTGGGGGCAATTCAGCACAATTCAAAAAAGACAAAAGGCTATTTTCCCTGCTGCCATTATGCCTGACTGACTACAGCAGCCCATGAATCTGTTGTGGATCTGTTGTGGATCTGTTGTGAATCTGTTGTGGATCTGTTGTGAATCTGTTGTGAATCTGTTGTGGATCTGTGCATCAGCAAACCTCACTGGCTGGGGATCTATTCACCAGAATAGGAGCCGGTGGCCAGGCCAGGCCTATGCTGTACCCAGCGATGGGCACACTGGCTGGGGATCTATTCACCAGAATAGGAGCCGGTGGCCAGGCCAGGCCTATGCTGTACCCAGCGATGGGCACACTGGCTGGGGATCTATTCACCAGAATAGGAGCCGGTGGCCAGGCCAGGCCTATGCTGTACCCAGCGATGGGCACACTGGCTGGGGATATATCCACCAGAATAGGAGCCGGAGGCCAGGCCAGGCCTATGCTGTACCCAGCGATGGGCACACTGGCTGGGGATCTATTCACCAGAATAGGAGCCGGTGGCCAGGCCAGGCCTATGCTGTACCCAGCGATGGGCACACTGGCTGGGGATCTATTCACCAGAATAGGAGCCGGTGGCCAGGCCAGGCCTATGCTGTACCCAGCGATGGGCACACTGGCTGGGGATCTATTCACCAGAATAGGAGCCGGTGGCCAGGCCAGGCCTATGCTGTACCCAGCGATGGGCACACTGGCTGGGGATCTATTCACCAGAATAGGAGCCGGTGGCCAGGCCAGGCCTATGCTGTACCCAGCGATGGGGCACACTGGCTGGGGATCTATTCACCAGAATAGGAGCCGGTGGCCAGGCCAGGCCTATGCTGTACCCAGCGATGGGCACACTGGCTGGGGATATATTCACCAGAATAGGAGCCGGAGGCCAGGCCAGGCCTATGCTGTACCCAGCGATGGGCACACTGGCTGGGGATATATTCACCAGAATAGGAGCCGGAGGCCAGGCCAGGCCTATGCTGTACCCAGCGATGGGCACACTGGCTGGGGATCTATTCACCAGAATAGGAGCTGGAGGCCAGGCCAGGCCTATGCTGTACCCAGCGATGGGCACACTGGCTGGGGATCTATTCACCAGAATAGGAGCCGGAGGCCAGGCCAGGCCTATGCTGTGCCCAGCGATGGGCACCACTGACTGACACTCACCAGTCACCCTGATGCAGGGCTTTGGTACACTCTTTAGTTGCCATTTTGATTGTCCCCCCTGGCTGTCAGAAGACCCTGGTTTCTATCATGGACCATCATCACATATAGTTAGAAATCAAACCAACTTGTCCTCCACAGATTTCTAATCCCATTTTCTATCAGGAAAACACGTTTCTTTCTTTTAATGGCAATGTTACTTCCCTTTTACATTCTCACATAGAGACCAAAGGCAGTGTGTGACCAGGTGAAGTGTACATCATAGAGGCCAAAGGCAGTGTGTGACCAGGTGAAGTGTACATCATAGAGGCCAAAGGCAGTGTGTTACCAGGTGAAGTGTACAAGTGTGAAAACCCAGTGTGAATATATATGTAATAGGCTAACAGTATATGATATTGTAATAGCAGCCATGGTAACTGACTACCAATAAACACATAGGTGCATGATATATGATAGGAGTGTATACTGACATCTACCTGGAAGCTGGAAGGGGCTGGAGGGTCCGGAGCTGGCAGGAGAGTTGGGGTAGGTGCCCACCCCTCCGCTGGAGGCTGGGGAGGGGGGGTAGGGGGAGTTAGGGGAGATGGGGAAGGAGGTACCGCTGCCCCCACTGTGCTGCTGGAAGGACTCTGGGAAGGTGGCGTTCAGGGGCATGTGGGGCTCGTTGTGAGTCATGTTCCTAAACTGGACCAGGAGGCTGTGTTGTGGGTTGAACTCACTGTGGCGAGGCACCAACACCGGAGGGAGAACTGGTGGAGAAGAGATTTTAAAATAAATATACATTGGATTTGAAGCGCCTTTAAAGAAACCTTGGGACACTATAGCATTTCATTTGAAACCAGTGAAAACATAGATACTACACATGAATGAAGGAATCTTCTCTTCGCATGACCTCTGTTGTCATTAGTGGCTGTTGTGCATGTCCACTGCAAGGATCTCCTCTAGCCTTTACATTTTAACAAAAGTACTTTCAATACCATTGTGTTTTCCATTACATTCTAAAAACGTGCTATATGATGCAGATCCTATTGATCAGGTCATTTTTAAAGTCCTTGACCTGTGCTCTGCTCCACCCCCTCCTCCCTGACATGTGACTGCTAGCTTTGTATTAACCAATTCAAGGACAGATATCACGTCACTCAGACGAGACAACACATATATCTCTAGGGTAGCAGACAGAATGCCCCATATTGCTCACCTTGAGACATATTTATTGGAAACGTTAATCTAAATAGTATGAATGGTCAAGGATGCAGTACTCTCCTTCACTTGGCTAAATGGTTGAGGATGCAGTACTCTCCTTCACTTGGCTAAATGGTCAAGGATGCAGTACTCTCCCTCACTTGGCTAAATGGTCAAGGATGCAGTACTCTCCTTCACTTGGCTAAATGGTCAAGGATGCAGTACTCTCCTTCACTTGGCTAAATGGTCAAGGATGCAGTACTCTCCTTCACTTGGCTAAATGGTCAAGGATGCAGTACTCTCCTTCACTTGGCTAAATGGTCAAGGATGCAGTACTCTCCTTCACTTGGCTAAATGGTCAAGGATGCAGTACTCTCCTTCACTTGGCTAAATGGTAACTTAAGTCAGATGAACTTTAGCCTTACTGTGTAATGTACACTTCTTGTAGAAGGACGTGTACAACAGCCACAAATACATCACTTAGAGGCTAGGTCTTGCAATGCATTAGATTGAGTCAATACTATAGTAGGAACGAACATGATTTAAATGCCTGTATGTACTAGCTACAAGCTAGCGATTACATACCTGGGCTCTCTACCCTCTTGTAGTGGTAGGGGTTAATGCAGACCTCCTTCTGTTTGGAGCCGAAGGGGTATTCACACATCTCCAGAGGCTTGAGCTCATGGTGAGACTGCAGGTCGGGCCAGCGCCACACCCTGCAGTAGATAACGTGGGGGAGACCCTTCCTGTGGGACACCTGGAGACGACCGTCCAGAGACCGAGGAATGGTCACACACTTACCTGGCAGATAGAGGGGGGTTAGGGAAGGTTAGGAAATATCTGGACCAAGTATGACAATGCTTTATATATATATATATAAATATAACTTAGTCATCTAGCAGACTCTATGATATTATGATCCAGAGAGACAGTCTATCTCTCACACACACCTGGCCCGGACCTGACCAAGTATGATGCCGCACACAGTACACAGTGCACTACAGACAGACAGGGTCACTCACTGGGCTGTCCTGGACTGCTGAGGGCTTTCTCCAGGTCCTCCATGGCTCCCTTCTTCTTCTTCAGTTTCTTGACCAGGGCGTCAACAGCCTTCTCAGCCCATTTCTCCTCCTCGTCCCCCTGCTTCCACCCCAGCAGACGCTTCACAGCTGGACTGGTGAAGGAGAACAGGCTGGACATGGAGGTCATGGTGCTGCTGTCGTCTCTGGTGAGAGGGAGAAATGTACCAGGAAGTTAAGGGATTGATGAGTCCTCTTCTTCTTGGATCGCGGTCAACAGGGAGGGAGAGAGTGTGTGTGTGTGTGTGTGTGTGGGGGGGGGGGGGGTGGAGAGAGGAGGCTTAGCCTTGCACACCAAAGACAGGAAATAGAGGCAGGACGCAGGCAGGACACAGCTGCTGCTCAGGAAAGGAAAGCCTGCCGTGAGGTGGGATGTACCCTGGAGCTGGGTCACAACCAACCCCCACTGAGGGGAGTGCAGTTTGGGGAACAAGTTCAGCTGAACTCCCACCTCTCTGGGACCCTGAGGATTTACAAACGTAGCTAGTCAATAGGCAGATGTAAAGGAAAGGATCTATTCTCTCTCCTCTTCTCTGGTTTAGTCCATACCATATGATGAGGTGGCCAGAGCCTGGGTAAAGGTCTAGTGTGGAACCTGGGGAAAGAAGAAGAGAAGAGAAGCTGTGTTAGAAATATTTTGCACAACAGAATCATCATGTTGGGTGACATATCTAGGGCCGGGACGATACCAGTATCACCATACTCCTTAGTATAGTGGCAAGGAAACAAAACACGAAGCGGATTTAACTTCTTTAGGAAAACAGCCCTAACGTTGGAAACAAACATTATGTTGTCATCTAGAGCAGTGGTTCCCAAACTGAGGGGTCCCGCCCCCCCCCCCCGCCCAAAAAAACGAACAAAATGTAAATTTTTAATGGGACTCAGTCTGGCTTTAAAATCTTACTGTTGAAAGTTGTAATAGTAGAATGCACAAGATGCGATTTAGAACTTAGTGCATCATCAGTATTCCTCTTGTCATGTTAGTCATTGCATACCTTAGAGAGCTATTTACAACTTATCAAAAATGTCCAGATCAACTAGGCCATGTCAGTCAAGGTTTTTTTTTTTTTTTTTGCCCATAGATGTCATTTTTTAGTCACTCAAATATCACATAAATACACATTAGATATGGCAAAATGTATTGAATTGCAAGAAAATGTGCTTTAAAACAACATTTTCTTTGCACCCCATGACAGAATGTGTAGAATTGCAGGAAATAAGCTTTAAACCTGCAAAATTCTCTCCACCAACAAGGAGGGGTGTGAACTGCGTGTCATGAACAGTGCTTGTGCCCATAGAAATAGACTGGAAAGCCCCCCCGAATGGGAACCCCTGATCTAGTGTCACATTTATTTATTTACCACGCTATATTTACCATGCTATAGCAGGCAATATTTCACATACAGCAGGTTTGCTGTAGAGTTTGCTTCGTGTTTTCATTTTTGCCATGGAAACAATATTGCGATACTGGTATCGTCATAGCCCTAGTGACATCTGTACGCAAAAGCCCCAATCTGGGAGATTTATGGACAGGATAGACAGATAGGCAGATGGACAAAAAGACAGACAAGATCTCTGGGTGGACAGGCAGACAGATCTCTGGGTGGACAGGCAGGCAGACAGATCTCTGGATGGACAGGCATGCAGACAGATCTCTGGATGGACAGGCATGCAGACAGATCTCTGGGTGGACAGAGACAGACAGAAACACAGGCATGGCCGCACAGCTGTTGAAAACAGCCCTAGCAGAGAGGATGTGAGGCCACTGAAAGCTGCTTCCTCCCTCTCCCATCCTTTCCCATCATATCCCTCCCTTACAGCACACATCTGTCCAACAGTACCAGGCAGTTTACCGCTTCATCGTTACAATAGGGAAAAAGCACTAGTGGAGCCCTATATGCAATAAAATATACCCTACACTTCAGTCACCACAGGAAAACAATTATGCACTTTGTATGTGTGATGATGAAGTGAGATGGCAGGGCATACAAGGAGAACAAAATGTAGCAGAGGCTAGGTAGGCTAATCACTGATTCTCTAAAGATGCATGTAGGCCTGTTGTTTCATCCATGAAGATATGGACAACTAGGCTCTATGCTACGTAGGTAAGCAAGCTCTCTGGACACAGCCGGACTAAATAATCTGCTGGTTTCTGTTGCTGTGAGGCTGTAATGCCATGTGAGCGATGACAGCAATACAATAACCTTAATGACAGGAAACGAGGTGCACAGATCCCAGAGTCCAGCGACTGATCACATCACACCTCAGTATTTTCCTGCCTGGCTGTCCTGTAGCAGGGTCAGGAGGCAACAACAAACAGTGTCTGGCTGAAGAGACAGTGACAGTCACCATGGGTACCAGGTTTTGAGAGTGCCTCAATTCAATAAACATTGGACAGAAAAACGGAATGTTGTTGAGATTACGTTTAGCGAAAAGTATAGCAACATATTGAGAAAATACTAAATCGTGTTGAAACTATTCTGACATGGCATGCTCTGGCTACAGGGTGAAAGTGAAGGGTTAGACAAAGGATGGTTCAGGTAACTAAGCAAGAGATGTCTCCCCATCCCCACCCAAAGTGATACTCAGGAGAATATTGCCAAATGGATGATCATTTATTGACACCAGACACCCACACTATCCCCGAGGTCTGACATCATCATTAACGCAAGGATGATAAACTACTTGACCAATTATCACAACCATTATACCATTGAAGCTTGAAACCAACACAAAGACATGCCCCGATTCCCTACAAAACAACTTTGTAAACGTAGCTAGTTACACTGAACAATATGACAAAATAGCTAACGTTAACTTCCAAGGTACACAAGAACATCTCATGCCTAGCTAGCTAGCTAGCTAGCACGTTTGGGTAGCTAGTATTCCATTTGATGAAATACACACAGTTAGCTAGCTATGTGTCTTTTGTGTCAGAGATCTATAATTATGTATGTAGCTATGTGATTATGGCTATGAAGAGGATTGGAAAATATATCAACTCATCCAATTTCGCTTAAGTGAACTTAGCTAACGAAGCTTAGCCAAGTAGCTTCCGTTAACGCTAGCTAGCTAGTTCAACACGCTACAAGTTAATTAACTAGCTTAGCTAGCCAGTTGGTTATCAAGTTGAACCGAATTGATGGTACACTCAAAGTTCTTCGTGTAATTTTACATGGCTGACCTTAACGAGAACACGTCCTATTTTCACCACAAATCCCGTCTTTATCCCCATTCTAGCTAGCGACCTCTCTCTTCCCTATTCCAGAGATAACTTTTTTTTATCACTTCTCTAGCTAGCAGTTAACGTTAGCCGGCTAGCTACACCCCACCCCCTCTGGAAAAGTACCCAAGCCTAACTTTCCTGATTAAAACTTGGTAATTTTGTAGCCTACCCATGGAAACATGCTTATCTAGTAGATAAACTATAATTTCGTCGCATACCTTTGAATAATTGAGGCAGGCTGGTCGCTTCTTTATTCCTTTTCTCTATTTAAAGCAGTCCGACATGAAGCTGTTTTTTTAATTTTCTACTTTTTTTCCCTCAATGCCTCTTTCCCCCAATCTCCCTACTCCCCTGTCCTGGCGTCAAGACTGGGAGGCGGAGCGCATATCCCTCCGCTAAATTACTCTCAATTCTTCTTCTTCTCCATCTTTTTACACTTTGTCACAGTCTTCTTCAAATGAGGGCTATTCCATGTTAACAGAGTGATGCTGAGAGTCAGATTTTTCACTTTAAGATGTATGTCAAAGAAAAACCAATGATTGCAACCATACAACTCTATGCACAGGGACTACTTTAAACAATTTCCACAGAATATTTTACAGAAACACAATTCCTTGAAGAACAGTGCAGATGCAAAGTTTGGTAACAGAATGAGTTTGTGTCATCATTCTGTTACCAAACTTTGCATCTGCAGTTCTAATAATAATAATAATTTATGACATTTGTAAAGTGCTTTTCATTATACAGAATCATCTCAAAGTGCATAAAATAAAAAACAAAAAACAAATAGAACAAATAATCAAATAAAAATGTGTTTTTGTAAAATATTCTGTGGTAATTATTAAAAGCAGTCCTTGCGCATAGAGTTTTATGGTTTGTTTAACTTTGCAATCAATGATCTTTGTTTGATATTTTAAAGGGAAAAATCTGAGTCTCAGCATCACTCTGTTCTGTGGAATTGCCCATGAGCAGTTTGTGAAAATAAATATATTGTAAAGAAAAATTTTCATAATTGTACATCGTGGTCCGATGAAGCGGACGCTAAGCTACAGGACTGTTTCGCTAGCACAGACTGGAATATGTTCTGGGATTCATCTTATAACATTGAGGAGTATACCACATCATGACGATGTCATCCCCACAGTGACCGTACGTACCCCAACCAGAAGCCCTGGATTACAGGCAACATCCGCACTGAGCTAAAGGCTAGAGCTGACGCTTTCAAGGAGCGGGATACTAATCCAGACGCTTATAAGAAACCCCGCAATGACCGCTGACGAGCCATCAAACAGGCAGAACGTCAATAGAATCCTATTACGCCGGCTCTGACGCTCCACGGATGTGGCAGGGCTTGCAAACTATCACAAATTACTAAGGGAAACCCTGCTGCGAGCTTCCCAGCGACGAAAGCCTACCAGACAAGCTAAATGCCTTCTATGCTTGCTTTGCGGCAAGCAACATTGAACCATGCATGAGAGCACCAGCTGTTCCGGACAACTGTGTGATCTTGCTCTCAGTAGCCAATGTGAGTAAGACCTTTAAACAGGTTAACATTTATAAGGCTGTGGGGCCAGATGGAATACCAGGACGCGTACTCTGAGCATACGCTGGCAAGTGTCTTCATTAATATTTTCAACCTATCCCTGACCCGGTCTGTAATACCAACTTGTTTCAAGCAGACCACCATAGTCCCTGTGCCCAAGAACGCCAATGTAACCTGCCTAAATGACTATCGCCCATAGCACTCACATCTATAGCCATGAAATGCTTTGAAAGGCTGGTCATGGCTCACATCAACACAATCATCCCAGACACCCTGGACCCATTCCAATTCGCATACCGCCCCAACAGATCCACAGATGACGTAATCTTTATTGCACTCCACACTGCCCTCACCCACCTGGACAAAGGAACACCATTCAACACCATAGTCCCCTCCAAGCTCAGGACCCTGGGACTGAACACCTCCCTCTGCAACTGGATCCTGGACTTCCTGACGGTGAGGGTAGGCAACAACACATACGCCACGCTGACCATCAACATGGGGGCCCCTCAGTGGTGTGTGCTTAGTCCCCTCCTGTACTCTCTGTTCACCCACGACTGCGTGGCCGCGCACGACTCCAACACCATCATCAAGTTTACTGACGACACAACGGTGGTTGGACTGATCACCGATGACAATGAGGCAGCCTATAGGGAGGAGGTCAGAAACCTGGCAGTGTGATGCCAGGACAACAACCTCTGCCTCAACGTCAACAAGACAAAGGAACCTTTTCATGAACTACAGGAAACGGAGGGGCGAGCAAGCCCCCATCCACACCGACGGGGCTGTGGTGGAGCAGGTTGAAAGCTTCAAGATCCTCAGTGTCCACATCACTAAGGAATCAACTTGGTCCACACACACCCACACAGTTGTGAAGAGGGCATGACAGCGCCTCTTCCCCCTCAGGAGGCTGGAAAGATTTTGGCATGGGCCCTCAGATCCTCAAAAAGTTCTACAGCTGGACCATTAAGAGCATCTTGACTGGTTGCATCACCGCTTGGTACGGCAACTGCAAGACACCCGACCGCAAGGCGCTACAGAGGGTGGTGAGTACGGACCAGTACATAACTGGGGCCGATCTCCCTGCCATCCAGGACCTCTATACCAGGCGGTGTCAGAGGAAGGCCAAACTCCAGCCACCCAAACCACAGACTGTTCTCTCTTCTACCGCACAGCAAGCAGTACCAGTGCACCAAATCTGGAACCAAGAGGGCCCTTAACAGCTTCTACCCCCAAGCCGTAAGACTGCTAAACAAGACTGCTAAATAGCTAATCAAATGGCTACCCGGAGTACCTGCATTGACTCTTTTTTGCACTAACTCTCTTGCACTGACTCTACACACACACTGGACTCTACCCACACACTGACACATACTTACACTGACACCCCAACACACACACACACACACTACTTACGCCAACACACATGACACACACACACACACACTGACGCCACACTCACACTCTCATACTCACCACACACGCTGCTGCTACTGTCTATTATCTATCCTGTTGTCTAGTCACTTTACCCCTACCTACAGTATACTGCTGCTACTGTCTATTATCTATCCTGTTGTCTAGTCACTTTACCCCTACCTACAGTATACTGCTGCTACTGTCTATTATCTATCCTGTTGCCTAGTCACTTTACCCCTACCTACAGTATACTTCTGCTACTGTCTATTATCTATCCTGTTGCCTAGTCACTTTACCCCTACCTACAGTATACTGCTGCTACTGTCTATTATCTATCCTGTTGTCTAGTCACTTTACCCCTACCTACAGTATACTGCTGCTACTGTCTATTATCTATCCTGTTGCCTAGTCACTTTACCCCTACCTACAGTATACTGCTGCTACTGTCTATTATCTATCCTGTTGCCTAGTCACTTTACCCCTACCTACAGTATACTGCTGCTACTGTCTATTATCTATCCTGTTGCCTAGTCACTTTACCCCTACCTACAGTATACTGCTGCTACTGTCTATTATCTATCCTGTTGCCTAGTCACTTTACCCCTACCTACAGTATACTGCTGCTACTGTCTATTATCTATCCTGTTGCCTAGTCACTTTACCCCTACCTACAGTA